TAATACAAATACCAGGAGAGGAAAGTTGCCTTCATCAAAAAACAGGAGTGGCAGGAGACCAACAGATACCAGACTGCTACTAGTTCTTACAAGTCAGAATTTAAAACAGAGTTGCCTAAATTTCTTTATTTCCAACACAATCTTATAGCTACAAGAAAAAGGAAGATAAAACCCCCTCAAACAAACATAAAAACAGATGCACTCAATCAGTTCATGAGATAACGATGTGGTGAAAATCAGAAGACATGAGTCAATACCTGCTTGCAGATACCATCCTATTGTTTGCAAAAATTAGAAACAAAAGACAATTCACATATTTACCAGTATTCCATAACACTGTTCATGCAAAGAATTCATGGCTGTTTCTAGAGATCAATAAATATTCTGGATTCTACTATATCTCTAAAGCTATGAAACTTCTCCAACTTTGCAAACACCTACTTGCAAACTTCAGAACTTCTGAGTCAAAAATACTCAATAGAAGTCTTTGATCTGTAACATACTAGAAGATAATCTGAGTTTACCATGTTAAACTATTATACAAACTGATTTAACTCTTCCTGTTTCCTTAGACTGCCCTTTAAATAAACAGTAAGAGCTATCTAGCATTACTGTAGAGCAGAAGTCAGTAGATTCTTGAAACTTCAAGTCACATTTTAGCTTGCTGAAAAAATATAGTTTTCCCTTATCATGAAGGCATCACATTATATAGTACTTAAAAACTGCTTCGTTGCTGAAAATAATACTCCACCTCCACAGTAGCCTACTCACAGAGAAAGCACTGACTGGGCAATGCATGTTTCTTGGATCAAGAGTTCAACATCTGTCCAGCTGGATGTCTAAAACAATGTTGTCTTCCTCAGTTAGGAAATTACTTCCTTTTTTTTTTCTTTTTTTTTTTTTAATTAACATAAAAACTCATCAAGTGCTGATCATGTTCCATCTGTGGTCTCTTCAGTCCAGCAAAGGAATCTGACCTGAATTCCTGCCTCTGTCAATCTGGTTCCAGCAACAGTACTGGAATCTCCTCCTTCCTCCCCTCCAACCAGACGAATGACAAGGGCATCAGAAGCTACGTATTTTCTTCTTGCTGGCAAAGTAGGACCTCAACTATCATACAAAATTTCATTAAGAATATACCTTTCGCTGATATGATCCTAAATCCAGAATGTCAGGAATCCCAGCTTGCTCTGGAATCCATTAGATTGCCCCAAAAGTATAGATCCATTTTGTTGCAGTTCAACCCATGCAGCAAGATGCCCAATCTGCTGAGATGAGGATGTTAAAAGCTTCAAATGATCAAACTAAATCTAGAGAAAGAAAACATATTCCTGCTTCATCCATAGAAGGATAACTAGTAATACCCAAAATCTTTCCCAAATTAATCTGAGGAAGACTCTGGAGTATAAGCCCTACCCTTTCCCAGTGAAGAATCAGAGACATAGAAAAGCCTAAACTGGAAGACATTTCAGGCAATCATCTGGTCCAACCTTTTGCTGAAAGTGAGGCTTTAGATTAGATGATCCAAATTCATCCAAGCTGAGTCTTGAATAGTTTCAGCAAGGGAAATTCCACCCCTCCTCTAGGCAACGTACTACAATGTTTAATTGTTCTCAAAATGAAGAATCATCTTTCCCAGCTGATCAGGGGTAAGAGTGAAGACTTGTGGATGTCATACTTGGATGGTAAAGCACAGTGCTTGCACAGCCCCTCCAAGCCCCAAAGCACGTAAGCACAATCCTTGACACACACGGCTTTTCTTAGGTGTGCATTTATCAAACGTGGGGGGAAGAGAGGATGGACTTGCTAAGCTCTTACTTAGGCTAGAAACAAATATTATGTTAAATGAAGCATTCATATATTTTTAATCAATACAACATAAGTACTAGACTTGGCCTTAGAACAGCTGACAGGAACAATCACACTGGAATATATTTGGCTAAGAGGCACTCGCTCATTAGCGCTTCAGCAAGAGTCTTCACGGAGTGGCATTAGTCAGGGAGATGCACATTTCCAACATTCTGGGCCAGCCTTGCCTTCAATCCAACAAAAAGCTTTTGGCAGGCAGTTCAGAGCTGCCATTTGCAAACAGAGGTGATATTTGGCATCTTTATTTAGACCCAAGCTCCTGGAATTATGTAATGACTTAAGAATGCCTGCTTTCATCTTAAAAAGATTTTTCTAGTACTCATACTTTCAGAGAAAAAAAATAGGCCCTGAAGAGGCTCAGAAAGCAGATGTAAATAGGGGGGGTATAAATAAAGAGTAAGAACTCAGTCATTCTAGAAAATTTTAAGTAAGTCTACATGAGATGTATAGATGCCAGACATTCTAGTGTACTCCACAGAAAAATCATAATAATAATTGTATTAATAATTAAATAATAATACGGTCCACAAATACACTATTTTAAAAATCCTTTTCTTGCATTTTATCAGAGGTTGTTCCTAACTCTTACACTCAAATCATTTCCCTTGTGTGTTCTTTTACTTCACCCCACAACAAGAATTCAAAATTTGACCATGAAAAAGTAACCAGTTGAGCCAAGCACAGCAAAGTCTTAAAGGAGAATTAGAGCAAGACAATCACAGATGCCTGCACTGACATTTCTAAGTTGACTGCAATTGGCTCAAAGTTTTGCTACAGCATCACTGACAGTAATGGAGTTCTTCAGTTACAGTGGTTTGACTGTAGGAACAAACAAAAAAAAGTTTTTGAAAACAAATATTTTCTTACAAACATTTTAGCTCATACACAGAAAAGCACAATAAATAATGAAGATTTCAACAAACATCTCTCTTACAGTGCTTCCTACCATTCTTTGAACACATACACACATAAAAAATCCTACACGACAAGCATTCCTCTTCTGGGTTTGTCAAATTTACAGAGTTCCATAGTTATACTATATTATTTAAGCAAACTGAGCCAGAATAGATAAGCACTTTGTGCACTAGTGCAATAAGATGCTAAAATAAGATGCTATCTTTAAGGGTGCTTTACCCTACTTTCTTATAGCCAATCTTCACAGCATAGAACTAAAGAGGACACCAATGCAAAAGCTGACCCAAAGCCAAGCTTAATAAACTTTATAAATTTACTACAATAGGTGGTTTTAAACAATATTAGACTGGAAGCTACATAGAGCTGCCATCTGGAGAGCTCTTGACAGGCTGAAGAAACGTGCTGACAGAAACCTCATGACATTCAACAAAGGCAGATGCAGGTTCATGCACCTGGGTTGGAATAAGCCCATGCAGCAAAGGTTGGAGGCCAACTGGCCAGAAGACAGGTTTTTACAAAGGGCTCTTATGGGTCTTTGTGAAGAAGTTGAACACAAGTAATTTATTTATTACACAATTTTCATTCTAGATCTTGACCTCTCCACTACATTACAACAGGGAAAAGCAGAAAACAAACAACAAAAGAAAGAATCTACACCACCAAGAGACTATTACACATCTTTTAAGTTTCCTAGAACAAGCAGTGCTAGGAAAGCAGAGGTCAAGAACAGATAGTCCTTCTCTGAAAACCAAGAACTAGCATATCAAAAGAAGCTGGTTCACTAATAAGGACTGACATGCTCTTGCAGAAAAGCACAGTCTGACAAAAACAATTATGGAAGCCTCGACATACTTTGCCGACTACAAGTTCCTTGTCCCTGTCCCCTGGAAACAGGTCTGACAAAAATCAGTTTCAACAACCTTCAGCTTCTGTGGCTTCCAAAAAGACCCCACTCACACACTGAGCTCCTTTGGTCCTTTGGCTGCATTCTCCAGAAGATTAGAACACTTCCATTATTTTCAAGAAGCCAAATGTTCCCATTCAGAATAAAGATGAAACTTTAACAGACAGAAATAGAAAATTATATTATTTACGTTCACTGTGAGAGAAGTGCAAACACGGAGTTCTTTGAAGTATAAATATGTGTAATTTATTTCCATTTTAAAAATATATGACATTCCTCTAAAACAGGCTTGAATAAGATTTTTTTCAAATTACATTGTATTTCAGTATTCTTGTTTTCCCAATGTCTCAGGAATATTCACAAACCTAGATATGACCATACACCATTGTATTCTACAGGTTCATCATGAAATTTTCTTGGCTTAAACCTGTCTTCTTTAAAGCATACTTTTAAACATCAATTTTTATATTCTTCCTGTCCGGCAATTGAGAAGATAGATTTTGTCTAAATTTGATTATATTGTTTGCTTCTTCAATTTATTTAACTCTTTTTGACCTATTTTGTAGTATTGAAAATTGTAGCCCCTCATCAAAGTAGAGACACCTAAAAAATTGTCATCTTGCGTTAATTACAATCTGGTATTTCCAGTGAAAAAGAAATGCAGAGAAGCAAGCATGTGACAGGCAGATTTTATAGAAAATCCATCATTCCTATTTTTTTTTTTCACATTAGATAGTATTATATTATTTAGAAAACCTCACAACTGATACACTGGAGATTAAATTTGGAATTATCTCTCACTGATTACATGCCATAATCACCATCACATTCTACTCATGTAGTTTCTTTTTGGAGATAAAAAGTTACTGTTCCCAACTTTTCCCCTCCCAAACCCACAAAAATAAACACACTTTGTCTAAGATAACTCTTAGGGCTTAACAAATATTTTTGTAAGATTTGTTACAAAACAAACAACAAAACACCAAAACCCAACTCACAATTCCTGTGCTCTTTGTTGGATTTCATTACGAAATGGAAGTAGGACAACATTCAAATTCACCACCTTAAGTTAAAAATATGAGCTTGCTTTTCCATCTGCAGAAACTATTTTGCAAGTAGTCAATACCACAAAGATCAATAAACCCAAAAATGGATTTCCTTCCTAGACCTTTGCAAAATAACCCTATATTAGCATAAAAAGTAGACAGTAGAAGACTGTAAATTAGCTGCCATTTTCAACGTGACTACATAAACATCTGAAGAATAAACAATTTATCTTACTTATTGAAATGAATCATTTCGATTTGCTCACCTGGGACTATACATGGACTATATATTCTTCTGCCTTCCTGGGATACATATAAGTGTGCTTCCTGTAACTCAGTTTAAGCCACAAATGTTTCAAGAACATTCTCCAGCAGCACAGTCCTATTCCCTAGATCGTCAATAAATGCCTTCTGTAGAAGTGTAGAGAAGGCACACCATCTTTCAGGAAGGGCTCCCATTGCATCTGTCTTTACAATTAAGCTGGTATTTCTTGAAGCTGTTAGGCAACACATTTTGTTAAATGTCACACCAAGTGCATTCCATGAGATGGAATGTACATGGTGGTGGCCCCGCAGAAAGCACATCCTCCCACCACAGCTGTAGATTTGAATGTTTCTTTGTATTCCTTGTTTGGAAAAAAAAGGACAAAAATATCAGGTTTTTTTTACAATAGTAACTCTCCATGTACCAAAATAATGGTTTGGTATTTTGCAAAGTTCTTGAAAAGGAAATGTACTCATGCTTCCCCATTTCATAGAGCAGCAAGACAAACCAAGTGCCATAGACAAACCAAGTGCCATGTCCCCAGGAATGTCTCTGTTCCCTAAGTACCTATCAGAACATATCAGTGATCTAGCCTGGGTGTCTGTGTATCCTTATATTGAGACTCCATAAATAGTACATTAAAGCCTAAACTATGTTAAAAGCATGCATATCTGCATTCCAAACTTCACAAGATGTTCATTGTCTGTAAGCATTTGTGAAGTGCCTATTTTTTTTAAAACAAAAGCTTAATGCTCTTCTGAAAAAGCTTAAACAGAGGTGTCATTTAGCAAACTTTTTACTTTTCCTATCTCTATCAAAGGATGCTTGGCATAGTAACTTCTTTTCAAAGTTCACATGAAATCCAAGGTAAGCTTTCACAGGTAAAACTACTTAATTTTAATTATCCATTGCTTTTATTTAACTGTAGCTATTTTAGTTCTGCTTAGTGAGGTGACAGGCATAAAAAGCAATGTTAGATAAGGGGTATCTAAGAAAATGAATGTAAGAAGAAAAGTAAAATAAAATTATTTCAGATGAGAAGTGTATAAGCCAAACTGTTTAAGGACATCTATCAAATCTCAAGAAACACCCAGTCTCCTGGGGGGTCGAAATCTCTAAGATGTGCTCTGCTTAATTCTCATCTGCCCTGCAGTTCCACTGAACATAGCGTTTTCTAAAGAGTTGAAGTCCAGCAAAGATCCCATTGCTACTGAAAGGAACAGTCCCACCTCTTGCCTTCCCAATGCCTCCTCTGCACCAGCACTGGTGCTTGTGCAGCCTTGCAGCAAAGTGAAGGGCAAGTTAAATCAGTCTCCCTTAGGATGTGTTTTTCAGTTAGATCAAAGAAGTGGACTGGAGCATTAAGCTACTAAATAAATGTTCCCAGACTGATCAGGAAAGGGCTGCAAAGGAAACATACAGTGGAAATGTTGGCATCCCCTTCATTGACAGATTAATTAATCCCCTTCACTTTCAGATTAATTTAAGCCCCCCATGAAACTTATTAGCTAGCCAATTTGTGGTGTTCTCATCCACAGCCATCAGGACAGGGCTTCACACCTTTTCCTTCTAATGAAAGTGAAGTAGGTGAATTAATTTCCCTGTAAGTAATCTAAAGCTCACCAAAAACCAAGCAAGCTTCAGATTGGACCTTTAATGACCTAGAGTAGTGAAAGGCCATAATTTACTTTTCTTGTTCTTTGTTTCTCAGAAATGCTCAGAAACAGGCACATGTTAATTCCTTTGACTCTTCCACTCCCACACAAGGGGTGTGAGTAGCCCTCTGTCTGGTGGCAACAACTACTTCAACTGAGCATGTAATACCTCCCTAAAAGCAAAGGTTAGTTAAGGGTATCTAAGAAAATGAATGTAGAAAAAGTAAAACAAAATTACTTCAGATGGGAAGTTGTCACAAACACAGTAACCTAAGAAATTCTTAGTTTAAGGAAGAAACAAGAAACTTTTCAGGGCACCATTTAAAACTGCTTAGAATACACAAGGCATATGGCTATGATGGGGTGAGGGGAGTGGACTTGAGAAATGGTACAAAACAGAAGACAAAAGTACAAAACCACCCAATATCAGTTGTTTTTAAAAGTCTTGGTTCTTCTCCCTATACATTTTATATAATCTGAAAAAGGAAAACAAACACCCACTGAAGTGAAGGAAAAAATGGAGAAAAGTTCTTTAAATAACTTTCAAAATGCATACTGCAGTACCCTTAATGATTTATTCATGGATTTTCTGACTTTAACGACTCTAGTTCTTTGTCTTTCACTTGGATACTCCTGCTGACAGTATTTTGTTAGCTGTTTGGAATTTGAAAGCTCACAACAGCTATTGTCACAAATGAGAAACAAAACCAGAGTCTTTGTTGAACAGCTTAATTGTATGCAGGCAGAAAACATCTGAGAGGCAAACTGAACATTGAAAAATGGCAAGATAACTGAATCTGTTCTCAGACTCTATTTAAAATCAAAACTTTGATTAATTCCAGAGAGTATCTCAACTAAAAAAGAAAAACCTATGAAATGTTACAACACAGAAGCAACTATCCACTGAAATAACAACATGAATTTTAAAAAAGATAGCATTACTGTTTCTTTTATAAATACTTGTTATTCCATCAATCCCAGACTAGTAGCTGGAACCACTACCTAGCAAAAGGACAAAGCTCTCCTCTCTGGACCCAAATCAACAAGGACAGCAGTTGACAGGTAGGTATTAATTTCAGGATCTTTACTGAAAGCATTTAAGAAAAGTTCTTTACACAGGTGTGTGACTTTTCTAGTTCTGTACCAAATGTCCTGTCACCAGCCTGATGTCACCCCCATCACTAAAACTCTTTGTGCCCGGCCTGTGAGCCAGTTGCTCACCCATCATATAACATGGTTGTCCAGCTGTGTGCTGGACACAGAAGGATACTGTGTGAGAGAGTATCAAAAGCTGTGCTTAAGTTCAAAAGGATTACATCGATTGGCTTTCCTAGGTCAACTAGACAGGTTATTTAGTGATAAAAGGAAATCAGGTTGGATAAGCAGGACTTTCCTCTCATGAAGCTGTGCTGGCTATTACCAATGACTGCATTGTCTTTCAGGTGTTTTTCAATACCTCCCAGAATAATCTTCTCTATAACTTTACGAGGCACTGAAGTGAGACTGACAGACCTGTAGTTCCTGGAGTCCTCCTTCTTTCCCCTCTTGAAAATCGGGACAATGTTCTCCAGCTTCCAGTCAGCTGGGACCACTCTGGATTCCCGAGACCACTCAAAAATTAAGAGAGGCTTTGCAATGACATCAGCCAGCTCTTTGGGGATTCTTGGTTGAATATATCATTTTTTTTAAATGCTTTTTGGCAAGTGCTACGGAAGCATTTTTTGCAACTGTGCCAGGGAAGAGATTAACAGAGATACTAAAGAAAATAACTTTCAGATTATAGCTTTCAGGATAAGATTATATTAGAAATATCCAAGAACATAAAGGAAGTGGACACCATTAGAACGACTTTATGCCAAAACTGAAAATACATTTAAATGGCCAAATTGGTATCACAAGAAAGTCTAGGCAAGGAGCATTCATCCATTTTCTTAGGCAGAAGTACAGGTTGTGCTAGATCAGCAGGGAGTACAGGAGTCATATATAGCAGGACTCCAGTTTGGAAAGGATTTTAAAAAGGAAGGCATTGCCAATTGTGTAACTTCCAAATACACCAGGGGAGAGTACACGGAATTATAATTTGACCATTTGATTCTAACGGAAACAAAGTCACCTAAAGTATTTAAAGGAGATAATTCAAAGTTTAAAAAAAAAAAAAAAAACCACAAGCAAACCACAACATTCAGTCATCACACTGAAGGCAAAGATGGCTAAATGTAACTAGTTTGGAATTACATTGTTTAAAACACTACTAATCAAAATATTTCATGGTAAGAGTGAGAAAAGGAACCTGAAGGTAGTGAGATGGGGGAATAAACCAATCAGAAACAAACAGAGAATAACGGGGGGAAATCAACAAGAATCAAACAGAGAATAACAAACACTCTGCCTTATAAATAAATCTTATCCTATAAACCTCCCACTTCCACTTTATTTTTCCAACAAACTGATGCATACAGAAATATAACAAGCCTGAATGAAAACTGCCCAAAGCTTAGTTAAAAACAGAAAAATATTGGTTTTAAGATAGTTTCCTTTCTGACCTTTCTGTCCATTTTTCCGCTTACTGCAGACCTTCATAAAAATCCAGAACCAAATACTGGCAACCACAGGCTTTTCCACAATACCTACACCGCCTGAAAGCTTAACTCTTTATCAAAAAGTCTGCCTATTTTCCAGTACGATATTTTCTATACAGACAGAAATTACGTTTCCTTTATCAAAATATCCTGTTTTAAAATGCAGAACTGACAGCCAAGCTTTCCCAGTTATAATATACTCCCTAACACACTTGACAAAAAGTTGAACTGCAGGACAGAAGAAATGCATGTCAAGAATGTAACAGCATACAAAAATGAATCTGTAACAAGCCTGGGTTTTATGAGATTGTAACTACATTAATTTTCAAGACATTTAGCTTTCCCTGCAGACTCATTTGAGTGACCCATTCTTTAGCATTCCTTATTTTCCACCCATTAAAATTTCACTTATGAATACTTCTCGCAACTATCAGCACATGCAGCTGACTTGAAAGGCTATTGCTAAAAGCTCATGTAAAAGGAAATGATAAAGACAGATACTGTGGATTTACCTCAGAGAACAGAAAATTTCTGGGAAAAGTCAAGGCATGAGATTTAAAGATGACAGAATAAAGTGTTTAATCCAGTCTTCTAAGTATGCTAACTTATTAGTGTGCAACTAACACTTCGATCTTCAAAGTTTTACTCTATTTCCTGCACAGTTTTCGTCTCCCATCTTTATACACATTTGCTAATACTCACTATTTATGAGTACTTGGTAGAAAACCCATCAGGATGGATGATGCACGTTCTGGTAAAACATCATATGCAAAGAGGACTCACTGGAGGGAAGGGTCGTGGGACCTCAAAAGT